ATATATATATATATATATATAAATTAAGTATAGGGGGATTAGTTTTAAGCTTACCCTGTTCATACATTAATAAATTATATATTTTTAATTACTTCATGCAAAATAACATTTACAATGCAACACATGTTGTACATACTGAATTGGCACATAGCTGTGGCATCTACATTCTGACTTAATCCCTAAAAAAATAAATAAATAATAAAAAATCTTATCGGGAAGCTTCGTTTTTCAATTCTTCTTTGTCGTGATCGTCCGATCGACGAAAATGAACTCTCGCCAATAAGAAGTATCTAATAACCCGGAAGGTAAATTGGTCGAGAAAATAAAGGAGAAACGGACGGCCTAGATTATCTCTCCCACCAATCGCATGGTGAGGACCAGTGACCCGGCGTGCGGGGACAGCACAGATAAATATACGGAACTGTATTGAAGGGCCAACTCGGTTCTTCGTTTTTCCCTTCACAGCCTGCGATTTTTTTACCGGTGAGCTTAAGATCCTCCGACATAGGATTCTGCTTCTTCTTCTTCTTCTTCTTCTTCTTCTTCTTCTTCTTCTCGCTTAAGAGTGTTTTGATATTGCTCATAGGGGGTTTCGAACTTTTGAGGATTCTGCTTTTGAACCCTAGGTTTCCATGGGGACTGCGCGTAGGAACGCATCGTTGTGTCTTCTTCTACCAGTGCTGTTGCTTTCTCTGCTCCTTCCAGCCCTACCGGAAGGATTGGTGAAGATCGCGCTGAAAAAGCGTCCGCTGGATGAGAGCAGTAGGATTGCGGCTAGGCTTGTAAACGAGGAAGCGCTTTCGCTGGAATCCCGAAAGTTTGGGCTCAAGGGGGTTCAAGATGGGTCGGAGGAGGACATCATAGCGCTGAAAAATTACATGAACGCGCAGTATTATGGAGAGATTGGCATTGGCTCTCCCGCGCAGAAGTTTACGGTGATATTTGACACTGGTAGCTCGAACCTTTGGGTTCCATCGGGGAAGTGTTATTTTTCGGTGAGTATTCTTGGGTAATTTGGAATGATTAAAGCTATAAACGAAGCATCTGATTGCTTTTTGCTGTGCATTGTAGTTGCCTGCTTTTGTCTTCCGTGTAAAAATGGGTTGGGAACGTTGAGATTATGTTTAAATGTTAACTTACGAATTTTTGAAGCAATTGTTTTGATTTCGTTGTTATCTTGTTTAATGGTGAATATTTATGACTGATCTGGCATCTGAATTTGTTAATTTTTTATTTTTTTGCAGATTGCTTGCTTTTTTCATTCGAAGTACAGGTCAAGCAGGTCAAGCACCTACAAGAAGAATGGTTCGTCTTTTACTTGCGAGTTATTTTTTATTTTTTAGTATAATATTATCCGATCTTTTATTTGATTTTAGGTTTTGCGCAGGCCACTATCTAGTATCATTACTATTTTTATTTTGCAACTGTCAACATGTATTGATGTGGATGGATCATTCATAAAGAAATTGCGAAATAATTAATTGATCCTGCCCGGGCCACTGTCTGTCGGCCTGTCTGCTTTTCAATGATGACAGTTCTATCATTGAACTTATGAAATTATCCCCTCCTGACAAACGACTTAAATGGTGTGCTTTTCAATTTTCTAAACAGGGAAGTCTGCCGCTATTCATTATGGAACTGGATCAGTTTCTGGTTTCTTGAGTGAAGACTATGTGTCTGTTGGTTCCCTCGTTGTGAAAGAACAGGTTTGTCTTGCAAAAGCTCTAGAATTGCAGTAAATTGTGGTAATTATGACGACTTTTTGGATTAAATTTCATATGAAAGAATTTGGCAGGTTTTTATAGAAGCAACTAGGGAGCCAAGTGTCACTTTCTTGGTTGCAAAATTTGATGGCATCCTTGGTCTTGGATTTCAAGAAATATCTATTGGCAATGTAGTACCTGTATGGTAAGCATGCCGATCTGTTTTTCTGATTGCTCGTTTTTGCCATGAAATTCTTTAAATTGGTCTGGTTGAATACGTGTTGACAGCCACCAAGCAGACCTGCGTATTATTTTTTGGAGACATCAGGAAACTATGTTTAGATTTTTTAAGTTATTCAATTTAAATTAGAAATTCTAGGTTTATTTTTTAAAATCATTATTAATTATTTTTTTTGTTAATTTTAGCTTTGATTTTGAATCATTTAGGGTTATATTCTGGATATGATTGGATTTGATTTCAAATAGAGAAGTTTGACCTTCTTTTGTCGCTCTTTTTTGACAACTTTGAGTCCACGGTGTTAACTTTCATAATTGTTCAATGAATTGAAATTGAAGCCTCATCCCTTTTCTCCTCTCTCTCTCCCCCACAGTGGATTCTTGTTTCTTCTTTTGTTGTTCATCTTTACATCAGTTAATATCTGTGTTATCGTCTTATTACTGCATATCTATTGAACCTGTTGTATTTGCGCACCCTTATTTTTGCACTCTTTGCATTTACTATGCCATCACTTATATCTGCTCACTTTATGCTGCCCGTATACATGCTTTGCTCACACCTACACTCTCTTGTTTTTATGTTGTGTTATGCTCCCTGCATCATTGCACAGCATTTGTTTTCCTCTCGTGATTGGCAAGCATCCGTGCTCTTTTTGATGCATGCACTTTTACGCTCGCATGCATACAAACATCTGTCATTGCTTTATTTCTTAATCGTATCTCACTTGTATTATGTTCTTTTCTTGCAAGCATGAAACCCCGTGACTGCAAACAATTGTAAAAAAAATTGCAATGAATTCCATTTATATCTATATATTAAAGCTCTAATTTCAGCAGTTGATTACTTCCTTCTTCTCCATTTTTTTGTCTACTTATTAATGCCACTGAAGAAGTAAAATTTAAGGCTTTTTTTTGGTAATCATATTGTTAAGTTTGGATTGAATTAACTATCATTTGGATAATTTTATGATTGGTTTGATTTTGATTGTTTCTATAGACTTATTTATGTCAATATAGGGGAATGCCTTGTTCTGAATTACTAAAATTGAATAATGTAATGATTTGATAGAGTTTCTTGTGGATTTACTTTTGGAGAATCTCGTGCTTCTTTCTATTTATGCTTTCTCTTTATTCTCTTTATTCTTGTATTTTTGCTTTCTATATATGCTTTCTCTTTATTCTTGTATTATCCATTTATCTTTTAACAGGGTCTTTTCTTTTCTTTTTTTAGTTGATTCACCTTTGTTGCTAGATTCATCTATCTTTATCTTCCAATTCCTTACTCTAGACTAATTGGTATCAATGTTAGCTTCACATCTCGATTAGCTTGGCTCTGCTTCCATTTCCACATCACCACCCTTCACTTCATTTTCATATCTCATTTCATATCCCAAACACGCTCACCCTGAAATTGATTTTTATTTTTTTGTTCTAATCCATGCTTACATCTTTCTCACTTAGATTTTTTTTTATGGACAAAAATTTCCATTTCACAAAAACTAGAGGTGATGTTTATGTCATTGTGATTGAAAAAATGGGCAGATAAGTGAAATTAAAAGCCTCTAGATTACTCTTTTTTCCACTGTAATCTAATATTTACATTTTACATTTGCTCTACTAATGGATAAGGTTTCGATTTCATGGAATGTAGGAGAATACTCAAGTTCAAGTTGATTTACTGTGAAGGAAAAATAGGAATAACATTTGTATTTAAATTGTATGTCACATAGAGGTTAAAATTAATTTAATCTAGTAAGCTTGCTTGTATTCGTTTTCTTAGTAGAATAATAAAAGTACCTATTATGCTCTTTGAGATATCAATATCATGTGAAAAAAAATGAAGATTTGGGATAAAATTAGCAAAACAAAGACAAATTTTAATGGATGTTATATTAACAATTAATAATAATATTTTTTTTAAGAAAATAAAATGATTTCTTGACATCATTGTTTAAACTTTTTGAATTTATTATATGGTAGAATGAACATATACAACAACAACAACAACAAAGCTTTAATCCCACTACATGGGGTTGGCTACATGAATCATTTTTCTCCATTGCATCCTATTTATTGTCATATTTTCATTTAGTTCTAATAAATTAAGATCATTTTTTATATAATAAGCCCAAGTCTTCCTAGGTCGTGGTAATGAGACTGTTAAGATGGATGCATGACAAAACTTGGGTAGTTTAATGAATGGTCATATCAGATGAATGGTTGGAGCAATATATTTTGAAGATGATGGTAATTAAAAATAATGTTAGGACTCATTTGGTTGCTTGTAGATGGATAACATTCCCTTGAAAGTAATTTTGTTCTCATTCATTTTTAATTTGAAGTTGAAATCTTCACATTTTAGGGTTAAAGATAACTCATTGAGATGCGAAGAAGTGCGACAAGCCTGAGAGGAAGTTAATTAAGGAAGCATTTTCACTATTTCATTGCATTAATGTCATATATAGTTATATTTTTTCATGAGAAGGACAAGTTTGTTTTGCTTTGTAAGTTGGTGGTGTACGTTGTTGGTTGAGCTTCCCGTTACAATCATGGGTGGAGATGAGCTGATGGATGGTAATGAAGCAGTTGTGGCGAGCAAATGAGAACGCAAAGTGAATATTTTTGTCACCTTAAAGTCGATAAGCTCTCTTTGGTCATCGATTTGTCCCATGGAGAAGTTAATTTGTATTGGCTAGGTATTTTATAATAGGGTTATAAACAAGCCAAGCGTGAGCGAGCTCAGGCTTGACTCGTGTTCAACTCGTTTGAAATTGGTTTGTGTTCGACTCGTTTGAAATTGGGTGTTTGGCTCGTTTGAAATTGGGTGTTCGACTCGTTTGAAATTGGTTCGTGTTCAACTTGTGTTTAAAATTGCTCATAAACAATGTGTTTATGTTCTACTCAATTTAATTATTCTTATTTGTGTTCGACTCGAAATTGACCTGTTTAAATTAATGAGAAAAAGTAGATGTAGGATGTTGAATTTGAACTTGCACCAACTCTGTGCAATAGGTGCAGAACTACATGGCCACACGAGCCGTTATGATTTAAAATGAGATGGAAATATATATAATATATTGAATTATTCTTTTGATGGATATATAAATATTAGTGACATTCAATT